TCTGCCACTTGGAAAGTCTTGGAATACCTATGAAAGGAGCTCCGATAAGACCCTTGGCAACAGTCAAAATCCAACCAATTTGGAGTCCACTGGCTCTAGTAACTTTCTCCTTGGAGCTTCCTGTTTCCAATAGAAGAGAGTAAATCTTTTAATATGAAGGTCTAAATCCAGATGTTATGAGCAATTTTTCCTAGGAAAAAAATGTATTCAAAATTCTTATCTATTTCTATTTTCTACTGTTTATTTTGTAATTGTTATTCAATAGAAATGTTTATTTATAATAGACTAGGTGGTGACATTGATTTATCTTGTGACTCTGAATCTAATGATGTAGTTGGTCCAAATATTATAGCTGATAGAAAAAGTTTACATTTTAGTTTTGGAACACGTTGGGATTTTGGTCGAACTCAATTTTGGTGTCGTTTAACTAATATGAATGCGCAAGTATCAAGAAATTTTAATGTTTATACACAAAATAGTAATGAAGATTATGAAGAAGCCTTAATTATAGAATATTATGTATTTGATTATGGAATTTTTGAAACTCACATACATAAGAATAAAAAATTCTGGTCTCTACCTCAGAGAAAGCCTTCTCCATTCTAGCTATTTAAAATAATGGCTTTATGTAATATTTTATTAATATTTATTTTTGTGAAAAAAATCATATATTATAATTTTAATAGTTGTAAACTTTTTCATTGATGAGTATTCTCTATTTTATATTTTCTTTGTTTTCTTTAGAAAGCTTGTGGGGGACAGGTGTAATAAATAATTTTAGAAAATCTATATATATTCTAAGATAATTCAATAAAATTTGTTGTGATTTTTACATAAAATTTATACTCTAAATATTTTTTAATCAGATTTTAATCCTTACTTATAACTAGAAAATGGAACTATTGATTTACTTGCAAAGCTTCATCTTAACTTCATTATATTTTCATCAAACACACCTCAACTTTATTCCATGCTTCTACATTTCCACCATTATAATCAAACTTGCCCAAAAAGAGTGGATGACACTCTTTACATTTCTGACTTAATATTTATTTACTAAAACACTTAGAGAAGCTTTAGGAGTAATAACACACTAATTAAAGTAAAAAAAAAACTATTCACACTTTATAGACTAACACCATTCCCTACAGTAGCAAGTCATGTTAGTGCCATGGACCCCTCCCTTGACAAAATAATCCTTCTTTGTGTTGTGGTAGGAGGAAGTAAACTTTTAACAATCAATAAGTTCTAGATTGGATTAAGTGTCTCTTACAACTCAGTTGAATTTAAGTTTAATCTCACTCTACCCCCTCCCACACCACACTATTTTCATCCTTAGTAGCATAGAGAGCAGAACATATTGTGCTAAACTATCTATGATGTGATCTATCTCTTGAGGGGAAACAAAGGCTACTATATGTGTTTCTATGGATTAATAATCTAGTTTTTTTTAGATTAATTTATAAGTTTAAAAATAGAAATTGATATCAAAGATATTAAATAGTCTATAAATTATGTATTAAACACCAACATAACTTAATAGTAGGATTAAGATTTTTTACTTTTAATATTTAATCTAAATTAAAATAATTTTTTTATAAAATATAATATTTCTAAGACTTGGATATTTAAATTTCAAAATACATAAAGCAAACCAAGTGTTGCTGCTAGCATAATAAAGTTTTTCCATAAATCAAAGTAAAGAATTCTTAATAAGTTAGCTTTCTATTTAAATCAAACATTCTTTTTGTATGTGTATATCGTAGATTTATTTATTTTTTAAGAAATTTTTAAAGATTATATACCCTTGAATATTAAAATGTGTCTATATATGGTAAGTACAAGTTTACAAAGATCTTTCCAACTTTGAGAATTGAATAAACAATGCCTTCTACATCTAAATGTGTTGGTAAGAAATCTTTTGCACTAGTTAGACTTTATGCTCACTTATAAAAGTCCAATTGTGAAATCTATGGTAGATTAAGTATAGAAACTGGTCTAAGCCCTTGTTTATTCTTATCTTTACAAATGTATTAAGCTATAATTTTTATTAAATATATTAATCTAAGTGCATAAAAAAGAACTTTCCTCACACCAATTGGGTTTAGGGAATAGCACAAGCAAGATATTGTGCTGATCTTGATTCATCCCATTAGAAGTTACTATGGTGATTCCAACCTCCAGTCATAGAAAATCAATATCTAATTCAATAGAGGAAAGGAAGAGAGGAAAATATGTTTTTTATAGCATGGTTGTAATTGAATTTTGAATAGAAAACTGCAAAAGGTGCTATAAATTGTAATGAATTTAGACTACTTTTCTTCAAATATAAATTATATATTGGAAATATAGTTTTAGAATTATAGTTGTTATAGTAGTTATTACATTCAAAAAATAAATAAAAACCATACATGCTATATCCCAATGAAAGGGTAGTGAACATCTATAGTTTTTTAAAAAAATTTACAAATTAACTATATATAAGAGGGTGATAGGGTTTCTTATGGATGCTAAGTGTGAGAGGATACTCATGGAATTTGGGTTGGTAGTACAATACAACCATCATTTGAAGGTGATGCCAAATATCACTCCAGTAAAGTCTTGTGATAGTAGTAACCATCCTCCTAAAGATTTGGTGGCTGTGGGCATACTCGTGGCTATCTATTGAATGAAGAAAAAGAATGTTGAGGTCAATATTAAGTCTTTCTATCCATTTCTTGCAAGCATGCCACCATCCAAAGTCTTGAGTAGTCACTGTTAAGAATCATGATTTAAAGATCATGCTAAACCTTAGGTTCAAGCTTAGGCAACATAGGTTAGTACAGATGCACTAGCTAAGATAGCTACCATTATTTTTACCATAAGCTTACCTATAAGTCATGATTTCTTTCTAGATTTTAAAGATTTTTCTCTATTCAAGTTCCTCCATTTGTCTTGCTTTGGGTTAGTCCTGACAGTTTAATTCAATTCCCTTGAGTCATTTGAGGCTCTTGTATGCTCTTGATCTTTTCTTCTTTTTGACCAAGATGCCACCATAGTCAGCTTTAGGTTCTGTGGCTCAACAGCATGATAGTTGCATCTTTGTGGTTCTGATCTCTAGATCTACAGCACAAGGGCTATAATTTCTTTTTCTTTTCCATTTTGTGGTGCCAAGATTTTAGTGGCTACATCTTCTGAGTGTGGCATTAGATTGTTTTATTCCTCAACTTGTTGGAAAGTTGTGGATCTCCTCCTTTTTTGACGAGCTCAAGTGCACTCAATATTCTAGGAGTTATGATTGTTTGTGTTGCAACATGTTGCCTTGGTTTTCTTTTAGTCCAATCTGCAACAAAATAGCTGCAATTTTTCTTCACTAAACTTCATTTTTCTTCTTGCATTTTTTTGGCAATTTTTTTGTGTATCTTGTTTGTGATCCTCCTCCTTTCTTAGCTCTATCAGAACTAGCATCAATTCAGGTGTGGGCACAATTTGAGAAAGGAGGGGGATAAGTAGCTAGGAAGATACTAATAAGGAACAAAGATGAATGGCCAATAAAACCAACCATAAGTGATTCATCATACTAGCAAAGGTTGGTCTAGAATGAATGAAGGGAACTTGAAGGGGTACCTTTGCAAAAAGAAATTCCTAGTTCTTCTTCTCTTTCACTCAAGCATAGGCAGACAAAACTAAGTCACTATGGCTTAATCCCCTTGTCCTTAAAGAGAGGTAGATATTATCAGGAATTCTACTTTAAACTCAAGCTTAGGCTTAGGTTTAGACTCATGCTAAGGTCTATATCAGTCAAGCTTTAGGCAAAGGACTTAACCATCCTGGCTAAAGATAGATACCATTATTTTTACCAATAGTGATGGCTAATCTAAAATGTAGTGTAGTATATAAGTTAAGACCTTATTTATAATATACTTTTTGCACCAATCATGGCTTTTTTCTAGATCTCAAATCTTTCTGTGTATCTATAGGTTCTAGTGAGGAGTCTTGATAATTGCAAATTGACACATCATTCCAAAGTATCCCTCCATATTTAGAATTCTTCCCACAATGTGATTTCCATTGGGAATAGCCTTGTATCCAGACCATAGATCTCACAAGAATGGATGTCAAAGTCTTGTTGGAAAAACATTTGATTTATTTACTAGCTTATTTGAGGTTGGCTTAACCATAGAGTAGAACCGGAGTGACATTTGAGATACTGTTAATTGACAGTTATCTTAGTAGTAGTTTCCCTTTTATTGGAGTTATATTTCTATTCATGGATTTTTATTTTTTATATTTAAATCTCATAGATTTTACTCAAGTTGTTATTTTTAATTGTTTATAACAAACTTCACACCCTCGTGAAAGAAGTTAATAATTGCTCTCTCTCTCACACACACAAAGGACATTGTCAATCTCAAGATATCCCTTAATTAAATAGAATTAGAGGTTTAGACCTTTTTTTATATAAAATGTAAACTTTTTAGTTAAGACTTTGTGGCACTTCCTTCAATATTGGAATTACATAGATTTTTTAAAACTATTCCTTTTAGTTACTTCAATCTAACATCTACACTAAGTAGGCCTAAGGCTGTAAAGAGTCTAGGTAATCTTTGTGGATGGACATTGACTTTTAGAGATGAAATTAATTTAGGAATTTAATCTAGTTAATTGGAAGTTTTTAAATGATATATTTATGTCTGAATTCGCTAGTCTAGAATCCCGGTTGAGACATTTTTTACGAAAACATTTTTTACTTGTATTCCGCACCCGGGGAATTACAGATCTGGGCACTCTAAAGAGCATACTTCACAGATCTCAAATGTGGATAACAGTCGAAGGACGTCTAGTATTTCCCAAGATCTGGCAGCGGTGACTTGATCTTAAGCTTGAGAGCGTTCTTGGCCAATAGAGCCTGCTCTTTCTCCACGCCGCTGAGACACCGGCCATAGCTTCGAAGGTAGTAAACACAGCTGCAACCGACAGAGCACTCATCATCCCCAAAGCAGTAGTGGACACTTGAGATGTTTTCTTCTCGAGCTGCTGTTTGGATTGAGAAATAAAGGAAGATCACCAGTATCAGAACCAACATCCACATCGCACTCTTCCCCTCCTTAAACTTGGCCATTCCTGCTGAAAACCGCTTCTCCCTTTTCTCCTCGGAGACTCTCGAATTGAGAAGAAAAACAAACACAAGAAGAAAGCTCTCTCTTACTTGATGCCGCCGCTGTGCCTTCTCCGGCTTTCTATCCCTCAAACTTAACAAGGCATCCAAAGTGGGGTCCTGGAAAGAAAGGCTCATCTGTTAGAACAGTTTATTCAAAGACGTAATAGTCTTCCAGCACATTGCAAGGCAAAAAAATGTGTCACATACCATCCAACACGTCTCTGCAAACCGGGGGCCCGTCACAATCTATACGAGCTCCACGCTGTTCCTAAGGCTTTCGTCTTCTTGCATGAGAAAGAGAGAGAATAAAAAGAGTGTACCTTGGGAGATGGCTTATTATTTATTTTGCTGGAGAATCGCGAGAGCCCTTCAGTTCCAAGGATAATTCTATCACAACATAGATGGTGTTGTCAGTCCCACTTAAAACAAAAGGTTTCTTATAGACGCTGCTGTTGCCACTGGATCCCACCAGGGTGGCGATGGAGACAAGCCGAGGAAATGCCGCGGTGTCGCTGTGACAACTCGAGCTTCGCTTTCAAAGGAGCCCAGAAGTTTTCCAAAAGGATATGAGGCAGTGATCTTCGAGGAGTTGCGTGTAAGTCCCAGGCGAGAGCTCCAAAACCTGCGTGTGATCCGTAGAGGGTCGTCGTCGAGAGCTGGACAAAGTTTACGTTGCTTTTCTGGCCACCACCACCACTGCTGCTGCTGCGGCATTGGTTTTTTCTCGCGGGCTCGTCCGGCTGGTTGGATTTAGTCGCGTTGTTTTCCGGAGCGTCGTGTTTGCGGATGTTGGCTGATGGTCGAAGGCGGTCTAGAAAGCGAAGAACTCGATTCCCTACGCTTTTGCCTGCATCTATGTCGCGCTGCTGGACGGTTCTATGGACTCTGAGAGCTACATCAAAAATCCCTCGAGCACGCCTGCAAGCAAAAAAGCGTTGGAAAAGAAAGACTTCCAAAAACTAATAACGAAAACGAAATGCTCACGCAAGAATCAAGCAAAGGAATGCTTGCACTCAAATTTACAGAGGAAAAATAAGAGGCCAAATCTAATTTCAATCACATAAGCCAACTATTCAACTAGATTGCATCCATACCTGAAGACGAAGGCGCGGATCCTTGGATGCTTGGACAGGAGGCGGCGCTGCAGGCGCAGGACAAGGCGATAGGTCCTCTTGAGCCCTAAGCAATAGGCTGTCGCCAATGTGATCTCCCACAGCACCATTAGGACATCAAATAGAAGTGAAATGCCCTAAGTTCTTGAGGATATTCTAGGTATATCATAGGTCAAACCCTTAACTATTCTTAAATTAATTTAGATTATGTTTTTCAAAATTACTAACTGAGATTAAGATAGCTGGATAATATTTTATTACCAAACTCTGTACTTATAAGAAATTGGAAAAATATCACTTAGCTCAATTTTTATTCATTGAAGTAATATTTTTTTCTTAATTTGTTTTTACTTTTTAGTAAAGGGATAAAACAGAGTTTATGGACCATTTGGTTTAGGGTTCTTTTTTCATTATTTATCTGTTATATTTGAAAATCGGGACACAATACGTGTTAGATATTTTAAATTATTCCTGCTCGGCATTCCTTCATAGAGAACGAGACTGTAGCAGAACCTGGAAAGCCAGCCCGTGATGAGTCACCAGGAGGAAAAAGAAAATTAAAAAAACAAAGTATTTTGCCCTTGAACCTACCTTCAAACGTTGCAGAGTTCTCTCAAGTGACCGAATATCCAAATACCCAAACCAAGTGCAAATATATTTATAACACAAAACTTAATCTAAAACAGTAAAAGCCGTTCTAGAACATACTAGCATTTGTCTTGGAATCATCTTTCACGAAGACGACGCTCAAGGAGCAGCAACATCAATCACCGAGATATCGTGGGGGGCGAGCTTGGCGACTTCCACAACACCAGCGGCAACTTTCCTGTCCTGCTCCTCCTGTTCTTCGTCAACATAGTTGGGATCCTTCTCGTCAATCGCCACGGGTACTGATTCCTTGTCATACTGCGTGGGATCCTTGTTCCCTTCCCAAGTGAACTCGCCCCCCTTGCCGCCCTTCTTGGGCTGCGCCCTGACCCCCACCGGTCCCCCGTGCCTGTTCAAGCGCTCCACACCCTTCTTGGCGTTCTTACGGTCGGCGTATTCAGTGCCATGGTGGGGAGCATTGGGCTGGTGATCCTCACCTTTCAGATCCTCCACAATGGGGCTCTGATCAACCACATCTCTTGCCTGATCCATCTCCCTCACCAGCACAAAACAAGCAAGGGTATGAGATATTGCAATGCAATGGCGAAACTCTTATAACGTTTTCGCCTGGTCTGACTTTTAGTTAGTTGGTTGAATGGCAGACATCTGGATGGAGCGCTCCTGCGGCCACGTAGCCTACATGTGGCGACAACAGGTTTCTAGTTTATGTAGATGTTAGCAAATCAGATACGCTAAGGTCCTCAATTCAAACCTCAAACCTGGGTTCAGAGCTTAAGATTAAGATATTGTCTAACAAATTGATATTATTGATACGCCACAGTACAGATTCTCCGCAGTGCAATGCATTGATAAATTACTGATGTAATAGTAATGTTAGAAAGGTTATAAATGTCTTTAAAATCTTAGCTGAATGCATGCCACCCTTTTCCTTTTTTTCGGATGGACTATCGTTGTCACAGAAGTGGCCATTGAAGATTGTGGAGGAAAACTTTGATCTAAAGAAGCAATAGTTTCGTCTTAGTCAATTTTGCTTCATTTCTCAATTTTCTTGTTCCTAGGCATTTCTTACTTGTGTTACAAGAAATACCTCACAAGTTCTACACAAGCTGCTTCTACACTTGTAACTGCGTGACAACATGCTACTCAATATGGATGACGAGGCAAGGAAGAATTTTTCCTCATGTCATCATCTAGATTGAGTGGCATCTTGTTGAGTAACATGTCTTCCATATGAGTCACTACTGCACACCACAATCCATAGCACGGTGGTGTGAATCTTGGTTAAAGGTCAAGAGCCAAGCCTCAAGTGGCGTAAATACAAATAATTGCTTTTCCAGCACTTTTAGCTTAGCAAAAACAATGTTTCTAATCAGGGTTCCGAAGTATATTATCTTTTGTCCTTGGTGACATGCTCCATCGCAAAGACGTGTGAAATTAGGCGTTGCGCAAAATATAACGCCTATAATTGTAAGGCACTGCTACAGACCTGGGTTCTAGGTAGTTTCTTTTGAAACAAAGGTGAAGATTATAACTAAATCTTATTTATGGTCTATTCTCTCTACATTGCTTGGACAGGCCAATTGGGCCTCCTTTTGTTGGTATTGAGTTTTTTCATGCAGCTGTTTAGACTCCTAATTGCCTCTCCATCAAACTTTGCCTTAGAACAAACTGTAGCGTTTGCTGGTCACCAACGTGGATTTTGCATCTATAAAAGAAGAAAAAGCTGCTGGTGCCAAATGAACTTTACAATTTATAGGAGATTGAAAGTCGAAGAGGGTAAACCTACACAAATGCATAAAGAAACTGCAAAATACCAAAAATACATACAATTTTTATAAAAAGTAAAAGAGCTAGAGCATATTGTAAAGATAAACTACTTCCTTTTTATCATGTTCTTGGTCTGGATGGTGTAGTTGGTCATCACGCTAGTCTCACACACTAGAGGTCCCCAGTTCAAACCTGGGTTCAGACAATTTTATTTTTATATTTCTTTTTTAATTTTTTATTGTTCCAGTTTTTGAGTAACAAGTTTTGTTAGCTCGGATTGGAAAACGATGCCGAGCGGCGATGTGGTCCTCGATGCCAACTTTACTCCAGCGATGATCGTGATTTCGAGAGTGTGCTTAGCTTTTTCGGTAAGTGCCAAAAAAAGTGTTTATTGACCTCTGAATTCCCTCTCTAAGCTTCAAACTTGAGGTATTTGATGGCGCTCTGGACATCCTTGTCACCCCGACCACTGCAGCTCACTACTACCTTGCAACCATCTTCCAGAGTCGGGCACAGAGTCTCCAGAAACGCTAGAGCGTGCGAGGTCTCCAGCGCAGGGATTATACCTTCAAGCCTTGATAACCTTTGGAAAGCTGGCAACAAACCACACCAATCAATGGCCGGCCATCGCTAGAAAAGTATAAATGCTATTCACCTTCCAAGGCCTCGGCATCTGTCACACTGTGATATTCCGCGCGGCCCATGTCCTTCAAGAAGCTATGCTCCGGCCCAACACCAGGATAGTCCAGCCTGATTGCGACACAAGCGAGAAGAAAAGAATTAGCGAGCGAGCTTAAACACTGGGGACGATCTAAGTACCCGGCGCTGATAGAATGTGGCTCGATGATCTGGCCATCTTCATCCTGTAGCAAGTAGCTCATAGCTCCATGAAGAACTCCTACTTCTCCCTTGGTCAGTGTTGCCGCGTGCTTGCCACTGTCCAAGCCAAAGCCAGCAGCCTCCACTCCCACTAGCCGGACATCGTTGTCGTTCACAAACTCGTGGAACAGGCCCATGGCGTTGGAGCCACCTCCGACGCAAGCTACGAGCACGTCCGGCTTGCCATTCCATTTTTCCAGAGCTTGCCGCCGGGTCTCCTTCCCGATCACGGTATGGAAGTCTCTCACCAGCATTGGATATGGATGAGGACCAGCGACAGAGCCCAGGATATAGTGCGTCGTTTCGACATTCGTCACCCAGTCCCGGATAGCTTCCGAAGTTGCATCTTTTAAAGTAGCAGTGCCCGAGTGAACAGGCCGGACCTGAGAGAGAAACAACACCACCTTGTTGAAACTTGGTAACCATGTCTGTGACTTTACCTCGGCACCGAGGAGTCGCATACGGAAAACGTTGAGAGCTTGCCTCTCCATGTCTTGCGCACCCATGTAGACGACGCATTCTAATCCAAATCGCGCACAGACAGTGGCGGTGGCGACTCCGTGCTGGCCGGCTCCAGTCTCGGCAATAATTCGCTTCTTGCCGATGTGTTTTGCGAGCAAGGCTTGGCCAACGGCATTGTTGATCTTGTGAGCACCAGTGTGATTTAGATCCTCTCGCTTGAGATAGATATCTGGTCCAGTACCATTGGCATTCTTGTAGAACTGAGTCAAGCGCTCCGCAAAGTAGAGAGGTGTTTCTCGACCAACATAGTCCTTGAGAATGCCGGCCAGTTCTTGCTGGATTCATGCAGCAACACTGTTAGAAAAACTAGAGACAAGAAGAGCCAGATCCACCATCTCAAATGCATATTCTATAGAGTGATCTAAAAAGCACGCAAAAACAAGAGCCATCACCGACCTGGAATTCGGCCAGTTCTTGCTGGAATGCAGCAACACTGCTAGAAAAACTAGTGAACACAGATCCAACAAAAGAAACTCTACCCCAAGAAAATGGGTGTTCTATAGAGATGAGCAAGCAAAAAATAAAAAATAAAAAAACACGAGCACCGACCTGGAATTCGGGCTTCACAACAAGCAATCGATAAGCGGCCTCCAAATCCGCCAGCGCCGTCATGAGCGTCTCCGGCACATACTTCCCACCAAATTTTCCAAACCTCCCAAATGCATCCGGCCGCTGGAATCCTCCATACTGCGCATTCAACACCTCCTCCGCGGCCATGGTGCTCTCTGAGATCGCGCAGCGGGCGCCTACCGGATTGCGCCGCGGAAGCGCGATCCTCGTCGATCGCTCCACACTCGCGCTGAGCTGATTGGGAGAGACGAAGAGCTGGGGGGTGATCGCACGCATCGCCATAGCTATAAACCCTAGCTCAGCCCTTCTGTAGCTGCATTTTACTAAATGGTTGTTTTGGCGGGAAGAGATTTTAGGGCGGATGGCGCTTGAGAAGATCGTCTCGGCGTTCACGCGCCGGATCTCCGACCTCCAGGAGCTCATGGTTCTTCGCGGCGATGGTAAGCGCGGCGCCTAGATCTCTCTACTGCTTGTTCGTGAATTTCTTCACTTTTTCTCTCTCTCAGGAAGAGCTGCAGACATGAGTGCTGTGGATGTTTCTCTCAAGGCCGTGGAGCATGATTTTCGCAAGATGGATAGCTATGTGAAATCGGAGATGGAGGCGCTCAGCAAGGCCAAGGTAGGAAAAAAACAAATTCGTTTTCTTCGGCTAGAACTCTTGGAAAACTAAACTGCGTGTGTTCTAGGCACTGTCGGAGCTGACAATCCAGCAAACGAGGAAGATTCAAGCTATCGTAGATCATTTTCCATCAACCTTGTCCGCTGCAGCGCCATCGGACGCGTTGAAAAACAGGTTTTCTCTGCAAATTTTCCTTCTTTTCTCTGCTAAGAATTTTTTTTCTTGGCAGATTGTTTCCTGTTCCTGAGAAAGCTGCTGCTCACACCAGCAACATTCTTCCTGTTCAAACGCAAAATCCAAAGGTTTGAAAGAGTAATTTTCATCGTTTTGCGCTCTTATGCTGGTTCTGTAGGTGGAGAAGGAGAAGAAAGGGAAAGGTTTGCCTCCTCGGAAGTATGTATCGGACGAAGAGTTCGCATCGTTATCAAGGTTGTCTATATTTTTTCCTTGTCTTTGTTGTGAAAGCTTCTTTTCAGCTATATGAGGGGAAGGATCACTCTCGATAAAGTCAACTCTGCGATTGATGAAATGGCTGGATTTGCTGAGAACAATCTAAGACTAATACAGGCACCAAGAAAGAAGGTCATTCCGATGACTGAATGCTTGCATGGCGTTGTTACAATTTCTTTCTTCATATGCACAGCTGGGAGACGATATCCTGGAGAAAGTCCTGGTAAGTCTTTCGTTTGATTTCCATCCAACATTTTCTCGTGTTTCGTCTAGGAACTACGAGATATTGCTGGAGCTGAGACGATCAAAGGGAAGCATTTCTTCTTGGAGTCCGACATGCGTGGTCCATTGTTGAAAATGGACACAACGGGCAAAGCTATACTCACGGTAGAAACTCCGGCATTTAAACTTAAGAGCTCACATTTTCTTTTAGATAATCCGGCATCTCGGCCGTGTCCTGGAAGCTCGGATTGGAAAACAGAGAGTGTTTGCTCTGTTGAGCTAAAAGCGATCTGGAGATTCCAATGCTTTCTCTTGACGAGACGTTTTATTTCAGGTAACGTATAACTCGTTTTCTCTGTGTTTCTCATCCAGCTTCACAGGAAATCCGAGATCTAGCTCTGCATTGAATCGCAACACGTACATCCTCTAAAGGTATCAAACTCGAAACAATCGGATTCTTTTTTTCTTTTCGTTTTCGCTTCTATTTACAAGCGCGCTACCATCGTTTGAGAAAAAAACTCTTTAATCTGTTCTCGTGACTGGACGAACTAGAAGCAGTGGCAATCTTCCTGGTCAGTAACGCCATCACCATTTTTCCCAAGCTCAGCTTTTTCTTACTCACCATCTTTGTAAGTTTTAGCTCGTCACTCTCCTCATCGTCCCCAAGCTTCGCCAAAGCATTATAAGCAGCGGTCCCAGCAACGCCGCCGGCTCGCGAGATGTTCCTCAGCATCCTTACCGCCACCCGGCGTCCCTGCGGCGGCGGAAACGACGATAGAAACCGGAGAATCGCCTCCACGTCGCCGAGCCTGCCGCCGTGCGTTGCGCCGTACGCCTCAGCCAGTATCTGCAGCGCGTCGCTGGCGGCGTCCCGCGCGGCATCCGTACCGGACAGCACGAGCCCGAGTAGTACCGCCACGGCACCCTCGGACAGCCCGTCCTCCTCGGCTATAGCGGTCCGGAGCTCGGTCACTCCGGCGAGATTCTTAATGGCGCCGGCGGCCGAGGCCTGGGCCAGCGGCGTACCGTGACGGCATATCTGGACCAGCGCCGCCACGCCGCCGTGTGCCGCCAGGGACCGCGCGTTTTCGGGCGTGTACGTCAGGCAGTGCAGCGCGGATACCGCGCATTCTTTCGCCAGCCCGGTGCCCGACTCGAGCAGCCGGACCAGCGGCGGCAGTGCATTCTCGGCTATGAGCTCCTGCTCACAGCATGACGCGCGGGCCAGGCGGTATACCGCCGACGCCGCCCTCTCCCGCACGGCGCACGGCATTCCAGCGTCGAGCAACCGGACCAGCACTGGAATCCCTCCCTGCGACGCCACCAGCAGTGCATTCTTGTCATCGCCCTCGAGGAGATCCACGATCGAGGCGAGCGCGCGGTGCTTGGATCTGGGATCCGTCTCGATCTGGAGGCGCACGACGAGATCCCGCACCGCCCAGCGCAGCGCGGATTCGCCCGAGATGACCATGGATCGCGATCGCGACGCTCGCGAGCCGGTGACGAGGAGCAGCGCCGCCATGGACTCCTTGACGAGGCTGTTCTTGATGACAACGTCGCAGTCGTGGATGTGGTGGTGGAATCGCGCGGCCAGCGCGTCGAGGGCGCTTTGCATCTGGAGCTTGCCATCGATCTGGCCGGATTGGAGGCACTTCCGGGCGGAGATCTTGGCGTCCTCGATGGTGGCCACCATGGATTCCAGCACCTCCGTGCACAGGGAGTAGCTCTCGAGGAAGAGGAGGGGGCATTTGGACATGTCGTGGAGCTGCGATCCCAGCTTCTCCAGCCGGAACTGGATGATCCGCCATCGCCCCAGGAACGTTTTCACGGAGCTTGCCTCGTCCAGCGCCGCCGCAATCCGCTGCTGTGCTACCTCCAGAAGCTCCCGCGCGGAGATGGAGCCCATGATCCTCCCAGCAACCAGCATTCCTGGATCGAACCGTGTCTTGGCGCCGGGACAAAACTCCTGACCATGCTTTGTTTCCCTTTGCGTCGATCGCCCCTCGCTCTCACCGAGAGACGAAGAACTAAAAAAAAAACGAAAGAAACACGCGAACAAGAACACCACACGTCGTCTTGCTGCTCCTGCGATCATAAATGAGGATCGTTACGAGTCGGGTTTCATGATCGTCAAAGCAAAAGCGGTAATCACCACCACTCACCACCCCCGAAATCCCCAATCCTCGAAACTTATCATACAAAAAGGTGGCATTGTAAACACAACAATTACAGAAAGGTGGCATTAGAAACCCAACTCATCATGTTTTGTGCGTGGGCCACTCTACATGTGAGTGCAAGCTGAGCTTGCCCCCACCCAAGAGAGCATTGTAAAGAAGCTTTTAGGGCATGAGATAAGAATTCCCATCTCTCTATCTGCAAAAATGTTAGTGCCTGCCTGGAGCTGGAGCTGGAGCTGGAGCTGGAGCAGAAAATACCCCATTCAAAATACAAGCTGAATGCTGCTCTGGAGCTACCACTTCACATGCTCCTTGACCAGAGAGGTCTTTGGGTATCTCAGAGGTAATAAAGAAGAACCTTGGAAAAAGTGGGGACTGTGGATTGGCTGCTCTGATAAGACCTGTGACATTCTGAGTACCTTGCCTTGCTTGCGTTGCTCAGTTGTCTCAAAATCAACAGACAAGAATTTTGCCATCGATTAGAAAAGTTGTTGTGCTGCTCAGATTGTCCATTCTTTTTTGCCCAATAATTTCCAGTCTACAGAATAAAATCTGGAAAGTGAAATTTATAAATTCTATTCACATTTTATTGTGTACCTGTTAAGAAAGAATATATGAGGCCAAATTGGAACAGAGAATAAGGAGGTAGGGTTCGCTAGCTTCCCTATCGTGGGATACACCCCGATCTGTGTAGCTCTGGATCCCAAGAGTAAGATTCTCACCCAGTAAGAAAGATGAGACAACCCAAGAGTCAAGAGGAGCCCGAGAAGGAGCCCAGGAAATCCAGAAGAAGCTGCCCATTCAATTACAGCCACAGGCAAGTTTACTGCAGGTTTGTAAAAGAGCATTCTTTTCCAGCGACAGGAGCTTGATATGCTCAAGAAGGAGATCCAAGAACTTGGATTCATGAAGCATGAGGTTCAGCGTCTCAAACAAGCTGCTGATACTCATGTTCTTGACAACATCACAACGAAGCTGTCTATGTTGTAACAAGGTTGATTGCAGAGGAGCTCCAAGTACTTGATACGAAGCTCCGGTGTGAGTACTTTCAATGTCTCTTTCCGCTCAAATATTTACTCGGGCAAGACGTAACGGAATATTTAGAGGACTGTGTGCAGGCGGATGAGGATCCTCAACAGGCCAAGGAGCATGGCAAGGAGCAGCAGGTCAATGCTGAAGATAAAGGCCATGGTCAAATTGCTGGAGCAGTTAGAGGTCCAGGAGGCTGACCGGAAAAAGAAAAGGAGGCACTTCTTTTATCTGCAAAAAGGATTGTCTCAACGGAATTGCGAGTTTCTATCTCTTCTTTGAGGAAGACTGTGGCTTCATATGTCTTGGAGCTTAAACCTCAAAGAAACAAGTCAGTCCATCGGTATCAGCTTTATCCACCAGTTTATGAGAGGAAAGTACTTGACACCAGTATGCCTGCTACCAGAGAGATGGTATCTACATGTTGGAAGACTCCACCTACGCAGTCATCAGATACAATGATTGGGAGGGCTTGCAGGACATTGTGGATTTCTCTTCTTGGTTGAGTTTGCTTCTGCAGCATTGGATGTTTGGATAAGATTACAATGGAAGTGGTCCTGCAGATTCTAATTGCCAGATTTTCAGAGAATGTTGCACTCCGGTTCCGGGATTTGCTTGTGAAGAATGGACGTCTGCTTAGTCCATTTAATCAACTCTGGGGGACACAGATTGCAACTGATGATAAGTTTGACGGTTGGTTGATTTGTGACGATTCACATTATATTTGGCTTTCTCGGAGAGGTGAATGGATCAACGAAAAGTACGAAGTTGTGATTCATACCTTCGATGGTTGGAGTTTGCAAGAGAAGTAACATAGGATTCTAAATTTCTTGTTTGATGTGATTACAATAAGACAAACTCCTGGCAAACTACATAGGGTATATTCCCAGACTATACCCTTCCACAATTTTTTTTCTGTGAGGGCCAAGTGTACGGCTACGATGCTGTATACTAATATTAGCGTAGTGGGATTTTGGTAGCCGTCGGATTGGTTTCAATTTGGACCACTCGCTCCTGTATATAAGCTAGGGTTTTTGGGCTAATTGATATGCACATTTCTGTATTCTCTTTCCATATTCCATGCATTCACATTGGTGGAGGTGAGGGGCACCTTTGATTGTCCCTGGGGGAGTGCTTGGATTTGGGATTTCGGTTTAGATCTAGCTTTTGCATTGTCTAGATCTAGCTTTTTCCATTTCCTTTTTTTTGTTCTTTCCTTTCAGGATTTTGGTTTAGATCTAGCTTTTTGCATTTTCTAGATCTACCATTTCTTTCCAGCTTTTTGTCATTTCTCTTCTTTTGCTCTTTCTTTTTCATTCATCTTCATGGCTGATCCGCAATCTCCTCCTTTGACTCTAGAGCAGCAGTTGGTTCAATTGCTTGATGCTATGCACTTGCAATTGAACAACCAAACTTAGTTGATGGCGGCGTTCACGGCACATGGTACAACTCCTACAACTCCTTCTGCTCTTGGTGCCAATCCTCGCGTTCGGCCGGAGTTCTTTTATGGGAATCCTGGGGATGATGTGTATCATTGGTTCGATTACTTCACAGTGATTGCCACATATCATTCTTGGGATGATGCTCGACGTTTGCGTGAGTTCCCCACATGTCTCCAAGGGACGGCATTGCAGTGGTACAATGGATTGAGCGCAGCCACTCGTGGCGATTGGAGTGTTCTTCTGGACGTCTTCAAACGCGCCTTCGGACACGCTGATGATTGTGATGATGCCTTCCAACAATTGCATCATCTTCGCCAAGGGCCATCTGAGTCGGTGATGCAATTTGGCATTCGTTTCCGAAGTCTTTTACTTTGTGCGGAACCAAATATGTCGGAGCGGATCAAGCTAGGAATGTTGTGGCTAGCACTTCGTCAAGATCTTGTCGGACTTGTGCATGCACTTGCTCCTGCCACTCTTGACGATGCTCTTCGCTTGGCACAACGTTATGAGACGTCGCCTCTTCCACTTTTTGCTACATGTCCTTTAGCTCCACTTCCTATGAGTGATGGTCCTGTTCCCATGGAGGTTGATGCTGCTGCTACTCGAGTCCAAGGACAAGGGCGAGGACGTGGTCGTGGCCGTGATGTTCGTTGCTGGGCGTGTGATGAAGTTGGTCATACTTATCGGCATTGTCGGCGCTTTCCGGATTGGCGACCTCCATTTCCTGGGTGGAGACCTTGGCGTCAGCAACGTCCCGTTGGTGCTGCTGCGGTGGAAGGTTTGGATACCGAGGTGCATTCGGGAAACGAGGAGTCACGCGAGTAATGGAGGGACCTTGCGCGAATAAGTTAGTGACCCCTCCATCTTTCTTTCGGGAGTATCATCAAGAGGTTCACTCGGCACCAGTTCATCCAGTGTTTACTTTCCAAGCTCGTTTTTATAACAAGAGGTCT